GCTATCAGGGCATTTGTTAGGATTTGATTGAGTTTAACGCAAGCGTAACAAAATATTGAACTTCTTGATTCACTATTTGAAACGATTCAGGTTCGCTCAGAGGAAAAGGGACAACCCAAACGACCTGCTATTGCTCTTTATTTAGCACCGAATAAAAAGCTTAGCTGCTACACTACAGTGTGGCAGCTAAGCTTTTTTCCCTCAGTACCGGTGATACGTCTGTGTAGTTTCGATGTGTTGGATAGCATGTTTATGCCTAGAAAGTGATAATTTCAGACAGCCTCAGCATATCCTAAATCTATTCTTCATAACTTCTGCACCACTAAATAGCGGTGTTCTTGAATAGCCAGATGTGGCAGTATTGTAGAAAATGTGGCAGACAGGTGGCAGACGTTGGCTCCGCATTTTCGAACTGCTTGAAAAAGGAAGCTGGTGACGATTTCAGCCCGCGAGAATTAATCGCGGCACTTAATATCTTTTCAGAGCAACACTGAGGATGGAGTTGTTTTTCTTCTCTCAGGCTGTGAATGATTTCTGCCTGTCCACAAAACAATGGAAGGATCAACGCTGCTGGTCAACAACACTTCTGCACGTTTACCTATCCGGAGCTTAGGGGGTGGTCAGTTGACAAGAGGAAGACAGCCGTCGCACTAAACGTCCTTTTAGCATTTGCAAGCCACATCCGGGAGCGAACTGAGTAGCTGTTCACTTACGTTGTGCTGCCTGAACATGGGTGTGTAGGTTCTTGCTCCCATCTCTCTGCTGGTGCGTGCATGCATCCACTACTTTTACGTGTCATTTTCTGTGACGTGGCAGGCAGGCAACTGGCCACTGGCCAAATGTGTGTGTTGTTAGCTGACTGGGTGCGCTGCTCCGCTTCTCATTTGTAGGAAAGTTCTATAATTTTTGCGAGAGTCGTTTGTTTATCCATGTCGTTTCGACGACGACTGAAAATTTGGTGGATGCGCAAGGTGGAGATTAGAATTTTGGGGGCTGTGATCTTCACCTAATAGGACTCTAACCATGGTTATCGTCCTCGTACCACGATTTTAGTCCGAGTGCCACGAGTAATCTACAGTTTCGAACGATCTCTAAATGCATTTTTAATGCTTAAGAATGACCAATTGGGCATAGCTTTAAAGCTGGAAAATTTAGACCTCATCGTAATTTTTTCAGGATAAAGCCATTCCACTAGCGCTTCTTGTGCGATTTGATGTTCTCGTGGAAAAACCTTCGTTTTCTGTTTTTTTCTAACCACTTTAAGGTCTTAATTTAGCTTTATCAACTTCTTTCGTCTCTGCCAGGATTTGACAGTTGTTATCTGAATTTGTTAACACTCGGGCGAAATCAGGTCCTTTTTTCACCCAAAAACTTCCCAGTCACACTTCGAGATTTAAGCACCCTTTATTTCATCTCCCCTTTTGTTTTATATACATACGGAGTGCAGTAGGGACTAAAACTCGGCTGGAGTTGGCCAAGTTGGGGTCAGATAGAGTAGATTTGGTATGTTCTCTGGGGTGACGAGGCTTATGTATGTGCTGGTGGTAGGATGGGGGGGAGGAATGTAAGGACGAGAGTACTAGTTTAAGTAGCAAGGGTCATAATAGAAGGGAGGGGCAAGGATATTTACTGTGAAGGAGGTGGGACTACTCAGAGACAAAAAAAGGAAACAAGGGAAAGGGACTATACACTTTTGCGTTACTCAGCACAAAGGTAGATGCTGAGTGGAAGATATTAAGCTTGTGCTTACACTCTGAAGATTGGCGGACTTAGGGGCTTTTTCCTCTCCCCTCCTTTCTCCCCCTCCCTTCCCCCCAGGGGGCTCAGGTAGCAATTTACTGTACAAAATTGTGCACGGTGCGATTTTTTCTGAGAGGTGCGATTTTTTTTTTTTACGTCCCCTAAGGGGACGTAAAAAATCGCACCTCTCAGAAGCCCTGCCGTTTTCAGGTTAGTATCCACCAGTAATAGCAGCGGGGGAGGGGGGAGGGGAAGGTGCAGCGTGATCGTTGAGAGGGGGTGCAGTGGGGGCGACTGAGGGGGAGAGCGGGG